GATTCACGGATTGGGGGCTGAAAGGACATTTGTCCTGACGGCCCTCTGTGTGGATCTTTGTGGCGGAGCGACAGGGCAGGTTGAGACCACCTAGGCGAGAGGTGGGCCTGGCCCTGGTTGGAGTTCGCGGTTTCTTCATAATAACCGCTTAACGAGATCTTGGTATTTGATCTAAGTCTGGCCACTAGCCTATACGCACTAACCAACTACGTGAGAACAGTTATGGGCACTCGACGTCGTGGTATCAGCCGAAGCCTTCTTGACGTCAGTGACTGAGCGACGCATGCCGGATTGGACCCTAAGCCTGCACTTGTATTAAGGGGGCTAGGTCTGCTTCCGGCCGTGTTCGTAACGTGCAGGTGTGCAATGGGAGATGGGCCCAGACCCCTGCGCGCATAGGATTTAGATCGGCGTGCTGACCTCTCTATTGTGCCTAGGTGGGGTTGTGACGTGTTGATCTTCCGAGGCTGGGCATGACCCAGGAAAGTGTGTGCGGCCAAAGGGGATCGAGCGTGTTGGGTTATGTGGTGCACCCCTGCAGGGAAGTTTATCTATTCGAATAGTCGTGTCCCTCTGTAAAAGGACGACCCGGAGTTGTACCTTGACCTTATGACAACTAGAACCGGATAGTTAATAAAACACACCCAAACAAGTTCCACAAACAACCCGGTGATCGCTTTTCCACAGGGCGACGAGGGGAGGATCGCCGGGTAGGATTATGCTATGCGATGCTCCTTGGAGGACTTCAATCTACTCTCTTCTACATGCTGCAAGACAGAGGCTGCCAGAAGTGTAGTCTTCGATAGGACTAGCTATCCCCCTCTTATTCTGGCATTATGTAGTTCAGTCCATTGATATTGCCTCTTTACACATATACCCATGCATATGTAGTGTATATCCTTGCTTGCGAGTACTTTGGATGAGTACTCACAGTTGCTTTGCTCCCTCTTTTCCCCCTCTTTCCTTTTCTTCACGGATGCTGCAACCAGATGTTGGAGCCCAGGATCCAGACGCCACCGTCGACGACGACTCCTACTACACTAGAGGTGCCTACTGCTATGTGCAGGCCGCTGACGACGACCAGGAGTAGTTTAGGAGGATCCCAGGCAGGAGGCCTGCGCCTCTTTCGATCTGTATCCCAGTTTGTGCTAGCCATCTTATGGCAACTTGTTTAACTTATGTATGTACTCAGATATTGTTGCTTCCGCTGACTCGTTTATGTTCGAGCACTTGTATTCGAACCCTCGAGGCCCCTGGCTTGTAATATGATGCTTGTATGACTTATTTTACTTTTAGAGTTGTGTTGTGATATCTTCCCGTGAGTCCCTGATCTTGATCGTACACATTTGCGTGCATGATTAGTGTATGATTGAATCGGGCGCATTACACTGGCGGCCCCTAGGGCACCTCCCCTTCCTTCTTCCTTGCATGGAGAAAGGCAGGAGGGGGTCGGCCCCTCCTCCTTCCTTCCTAGGGCCGGCCGCCAGGAGGTGGCACGCCAGCCCCCTTGTGGGATGGTGTGCTCCCCTCCTTTTTGCTTGTTAGGCCCAACAACTCCCTGTGGCCTTCCAGAACCCCTTTCGGCGATCCGATAATTATCCGTGTATTCCGGAACCCTTCTGGAGACCGAATGTTATCATCCTATATATCAGTCTTTACCTCCGGACCATTCCAGAGCTCCTCGTCATGTCTGTGATCTCATTCGGGACTCCGAACAACATTCGGTCACCAACATACATAACTCATATAGTACTACATCGTCAATGAACGTTAAGCTTGCGGACCCTATGGGTTCAAGAATGATGTAGACATGACCGAGACGCTTCTCCGGTCAATAACCAATAGCGGGACCTGGATGCCCATATTGGTTCCTACATATTCTACGAAGATCTTTATCGGTCGAACCTTTATGACAACATATGTTGTTCCCTTTGTCTGTCGGTATGTTACTTGCCCGAGATTCGATCGTCGATGTCTCCATACCTAGTTCAATCTCATTACCGACAAGTCTCTTTACTCGTTCCATAATACATCATCTTGTAACTAACTCCTTAGTCACTTTGCTTGCAAGCTTCTTGTGATGCTGTATTACCGAGAGGGCCCAGAGATACCTTTCCGTCATATGGAATGACAAATCACAATCTCGATCCATGCCAACTCAACAGACACCTTCGAAGATACCTGTAGAGCACCTTTATGATCACCCAGTTATGAAGTGACGTTTGATACACACAAGGCATTCCTTCGGAGTCCGGGAGTTGCATGATCTCATGGTCGAAGGAACATGTATTTGACATTAAGAAAGCAGTAGCAATAAACTGAATGATCATATGCTATGCTAACGGATGGGTCTTGTCCATCACATCATTCTTCTAATGACGTGATCCTATTATCAAATGACAACTCATGTCTATGGCCAGGAAACCTTTACCATCTTTTGATCAACGAGCTAGTCTAGTAGAGGCTTACTAGGGACTTGGTATTTGTTTATGTATTCATACATGTATTTAAGTTTCCGATCAATACAATTATAGCATGAATAATAAACCTTTATCATGATTAAGAAAATATAATAATAACCACTTTAATTGCCTTAGGGCATATTTCCAACAGAATGCATGTAGACATGGTGAAGAGATGTCTTGCAGGGATGTCAGTTACCGATTTTGTGAGAGAGGAGAAGGACACGTCCGTACGAGACGACGGTTAGTGTTGGACACACACATTATCCTAATGATGTCTATTAACTAACAGGTGTTAGTTAATAAAACCATACAGGCTAATTCTAATCCTAACATAACTAACACATTAACACATGTGGATCAGAAACATTGATTAGTAGACCTGAGATTGCGCAACACTCCACATGATCACGTCAGTTGCCCGTGCCTTGTCTACTTTAGGAAAAAGGCGATCATGGGCAGACGGTTTCTCCTATTGCTGAAAGCCAGCGAGGCCGGTTCCTCCTTCTCTACTCGCTGCTCCGGTGGCGGGTGGATGGGGAGGGGTTCCCGTTTCTTTCCTGTGCTTTTTCATCTAGAGTTAGTCTTTCATGCGGTGGCGTTGGAAGGATGAGGACAACATCGCACTTAATAAAGTTGCTTTGGCTTCCTCCTCACCACGACGACGCTCTTCATGGTGACATCGAGAGCCGATGGCCTCGCCTTCTCACCTTCGGTCGAGGTGGTGAGATTAGGTTTGCTTTCTCTCTCTAACGCTTGCTATTCGAATCCAGATTAGCATGGGGATATTGACCGGTCAACATGCCACAACAGTGGCGAAGCTAGACGAAAATCACTTGGGGGATACAAATTATCAGTCTTTGAGGGATGCTAAAAAAATATCTAGTGTAAGCCCTCCTAATTTTTTTCTTCAGAAAACAATCCAAGGCTGGGGCAGCGGCCCCCTGGCCTCAACATAGCTCCGCCACCGTGTCACAGTGACAAGTGCCTTGCTGCTTGCATCAGGCATGTTCATCCACTCAGAAAGCCTTTATAGCCATGGTGTTCCCCTAGATTGTGCAATGGTGGAGGTTGTGCTTCTTCTCCGTCAAGCGCCTCAGCGGCGTTGGATATTGGCAACAACCGTTAGTTTCGATGTGTGCAGGGATCTCTATGGATTTTCTTGAATTTTTTTATTCTCTCTGTCTCATAATATAATACTCCCTCCCTCCCAAAATAAGTGTCTCAACTTTGTACTAACTCTAGTACTCTCTCCGTCCGAAAATACTTGTCATCAAAATGGATAAAAAGAGATGCATCTAGAACTAAAATACTTCTAGATACATCCCTTTTTATTTATTTTGATGACAAGTATTTCCGGACGGAGGGAGTATAAAGTTGTACTAAAACTGAGACACTTATTTTGGGACGGAGGGAGTAACTGTTTTCAGGCTGTCTTAGGATCCTCTCTTCATGGTTTTCAGGCATGTGTTATTGTGATACTCCTAGTTGATTAATGATACACGCGGCTTAAAAAAACACTCCACGTGACTACGGAGTGGACGAAAACATGCGGAAGAGGACGCCTGAGGCTGGTCGTAATGGAAGTATCACAGTTAGTATCATGCATGCCAACTAGGCAATTTTGATGACGTGACATAGAATTAAATGAAGAAAGAGAGGATTGAGTATCATACCATGATACCGTATCATAATAAATGTTATGGTATTATGTGTAATACATGACAATAAATAAAGTACTACTCCCTCTGTTCCTAAATATTTGTCTTCTAGAGATTTCAACAAGTGACTACATACAGAGCAAAATGAGCGAATCTATACTCTAAAATATGTCTATATACGTACGTATGTGGTGTCTATTCGAAATCTCTGAAAAAACATATTTAGGAAGGGAGAGAGTATATAATACTAATCATAATACTATACATTAGATAGGTAGTATCATACACTAATATCATATGCGTGATGCTAATATATGATACTTCCCGTTTAAAACCAGGTTGACATGCCCTCCGACGTGCGATCACGAACGGCCAGATTTGGATTTCCATGGTGGAATTTCAGTTTTCTGGAAAAAGGAGCAGTAGAAAGTTTCAAGAAAGGGCTGTCGTCGTCGGAGAAAACCCGAGCGACGATGGCCAGAAAAAGCGAGTGTACCGTTTAATTCTGCTCCTTTCCGCACCCGCACAAGAAAGCGCCGCCGCTCGACGAGAGGGAGATGGCGGCCCTCCTCGTCTTTACCCCGCTCCTTCCACCAGCGTCTGCTTTGATTACCTTCCGTTTCTGTCGTCGCGCAGCCGCGCAGCGAGAGGAGCACACCAGCCGCGCGATTGCGAGCTCCTCCTCCCCACTCCATAAATAGCGCCGGCTTGGCGGGCAGCGGCGGCGCCTGCCTCTACCACCTTCCCTCCGCATTTCCAACGACAGCACAGTGAGAGAGAGGAGATCCGCCGCGCGAGTAGATTTCCTAGCCGCGCTCCGTTAGCGCGCCGCCCGTGCGAGAATCCAAGAACCGGACGGAGGAGCCGGGGCCGCGAGATGCAGAGCATGGCGGCGTCCTCCTCGTCCCACTCCTCTTCAAGAGGCTGGGCGGCGGTGCGCCGTTGCCCCTCCCCTTCCCTGCCCGCGCGGCATGTCGCCTTCTCCTCCTCGTCCTCTTCCCGCTGCCCCGTCGTGGGCGCCGGCGCGCCCGTCCTGCCGCTCGGCATTCGCGGGGGCCGCCTGCCGCTCCCCTGCCCCCTGCTCCCGCCCGGCGGCAAGAACGGCGCTTCGGCGAGAAGGGCGACGGCGACCGCCGCCGCGGCTTCGCCGTCGGCGGAGGGAGACGCGAAGCCGGAGGCCGCCGGCATTCCGCGGACGCTGCAGCTCGGCGCCATGATCCTCGTCTGGTACCTCCTCAACATCTACTTCAACATCTACAACAAGCTGGTCAGTCCTAATCGACATTTATTTCCCCTTTCTTCCTGTATAGGGTTATTATACACATACAGATCGTTTCTTGATCCTCCTAATCCAATCTTCCTTTGCATGTGACTGCTGATGATTGATGATGCTACTACACAGGTTCTGAAAGCAGTGCCCTTCCCGTACACCATCACCACCTTCCAGTTCGCATCCGGCTCCTTCTTCATCACTCTCATGTGGCTGTTTAATCTGCACCCCAAGCCAAGGCTCTCCCTTCAACAGGTAACAAGATGGATAAACACTGATCTTTTATCATTATTACCCTGATCGTCTAAAGTTTGAATTGTTTCCTTTTCGGTAACACCGTTCATGATTCATGTGAAATCGTATAGTAATTCAGTTTTGAGATGAACGGATTAATCTTTTAATTATCGATGCAGTACGCAAAGATCCTTCCTTTGGCCTTAATACACATGATGGGCAACGTCTTCACCAACATGAGTTTGGGCAAGGTGGCTGTCTCCTTCACGCACACCATCAAGGCCATGGAGCCCTTCTTCTCTGTTCTGTTCTCAGTCTTGCTCCTCGGGCAGGTATTTTATTTCATCTTAAGTGCTCCGTCCTGACAAATGAAATGTGCAGAAAGAGATGAATATGTTGTTCTTAATTGTGCTGTTCTTGCAGACACCTTCTTTACTGGTAGTAGGTTCTCTCGTGCCGGTTGTCGGTGGAGTTGTGTTGGCATCCATGACTGAAGTTTCTTTCAACTGGTTAGTTGTAATGTTGCCATTAGTTAATATTCCAAATGTCAAAGGATTGGGGAAACATTGACTTTTTGATTACCCTCTTCAGATATTGTAAGACCATCTACATCCGGATATAGCAAATCCAGCCCCTCATAGGTCCGCAGACGCGTCCAGGCGTGTCCGCGGAGAGGGCCTGGTCACCCCTCATTTTGCGTCCGGTGCAACTGAGTACCTCAAATATCATACCTCAAATCCATACTACACATGCAACACAAAAGCTACGAAGTACCACATCGATAAACCTAGCCTACTTCTACTCTTCGTGAGAGATGTAGATGACCTCCGTGCCGGTAGTGCCTGACGTACCTGCCTCCTGGTGGATGGCCGCCTCCCGCTGCTTCGGCTCCCTGTCGGACTCCACCTCCGCCGCCTGTGCTTCGCGGAGGTTTGCCTCCACCTCCGCCTTTGAGCGGATGGAGCCGAGGATGGCCTGCTGCTCCGCCGCCTCCTCCGCTTGGGCGACCTCAAACTCGCCCGGCGCGTCGGCCATGCTGAATCCGGCAGCCGGACGCCGGATCTGCCTCGCCTTCCTCCTCTGGCTCCGCATCCTCCAGGCCGTGTCCAGCACCTGCTGCTCTGCATCCTCCTCCTGTTGCTCCGGCTCTGGAGGCAGGCCGGCTGCAATCCGAGCTTCGTGCCGGGCCTGGATCTCCTCAAGGAGCTCTAACCGACGCTCCGGAGCGAGCATTGCATAAGTGGTGATCCGCTGCCGAGCCATGGCTACAGGCGGATGGCGAGCTCCGAGCTGCGAGTGAATGGGGAGTGGCGGCACGAGGGAAGGGATATGTGAGTGCAGCTAGGGTTGGGGGTCACCGTCCGGCTTAAATAGCCAGATCTGACCCCTCGGGCATCAATCCAACGTGGCGGATGCGCCCAGGCGCGTCTGGGCCTCCTCATATACACCAGATTTGGGCTGGATATGAGGGATGCCGGTCAGCCCGGACGTATAGGGCCAGTTTGAGGAGCCCGACCGGGCCATGTTTTTGACCAGTCACTGACCGGGCCGTCCACCCGGGCGTATAGGGTGCGTTTGAGGAGCCCAACTATAGATGCTCTAAGCTATATAAATATGGAATGTATCACACTATCCATTAGTTCAGTCAAGCTTATCACTACCACTCTGGAAAGAAAGAAACCAGTAGTTCACACTGTTGGCAATCCAGTTAGCCTTATATGCTTGTATCACTCAAAACTTACTAAAATGGGAAGTGAGGTGTCAATTATGAATAGACTCTAGTTAGGTTACAACTGTATACATTACCGAAAATGCAAATAATAATAATATTGTTTTTCCAGTTATTTTAGCTAAAATAATGCAGCAAAATATTTTTTATTTTATTTTGCAATCCAAAACATTGGTTGTACTTCAGGCTCCCCCAACTGGTTTATTTCCTGTGGTCTTATTGAGAACCATCTGTCATCATGTATACTGAGTTACTGACTGCATATGTACTTTGGGAAAACAGGATTGGATTTTGGAGTGCCATGGCTTCTAATGTTACAAATCAGTCGCGAAATGTTTTCAGCAAGAAACTTCTTGCTGACAAAGAGGTGATTTACTACTTTATTTTGTTCCATTGGGCATTCACACCGTACAAACCTGATAACTATCCTGAACCACTTTCCCCTTACGCATTTCTTTTCTTACAGGAAACGTTGGACGATATAAATCTCTTCTCAATTATGACTGTCATGTCATTTTTGTTGTCGGTCCCATTAATGCTATATTTAGAGGGCATCAAGTTTAGCCCATCATACCTACAGAGCACTGTGAGTTTTGCCAGTTCGCAAAAGTAGAAATGGATTGGTTTGCCTCCCTTTTTTTGGCTAATCATAACTTTTTCGAACATTGTACCTTTTATGTAGGGCGTAAATCTTCAAGAACTATGCGTGAAAGCAGTCATTGCTGGCACTTGTTTCCATTTTTATCAACAGGTGTGCTAATCTTCACTAAGAATCAGTTCCCTTCAGAAATATATTTAAATTTTTTTGGAGGTTCTACAAAGGTTCCAAGAATTATCACTTAGTAGCTTTAGGGGCTGGACTTTGCCCATTTTATATTATATTACTATGGTCAACCGCTTTCAGTGTACATGTTATTTTACCTTCAGTGATGTTAGATGAGTGGTCCTGCATAATAAGTTCCATGACCTGAAATTCAACTTCTACCACTTATCTGTTTTTCTTTTCTCTTTGATATTTACTATAAGTTCTATTCAGTTTTGTCCTTAATTGCCTGTAACAAAGTTTCTATTTGTTTCCGAGGCAGGTTTCATATAGTTTATTGGCCAGAATATCACCTGTGACCCATTCTGTTGCAAACTCTGTCAAACGAGTTGTTGTCATCGTGTCATCCGTTATCTTCTTCAGAACTCCGATTTCACCTATCAATGCCCTTGGTAACTTCATGACTAACCAATCCTATTTTACCAGCAAGTTCTAACAATTCACTTTCCGATTTGTTTCTCTGAAATATAATCTTACCTTGCCTGCAGGAACTGGTCTGGCTCTGCTTGGTGTTTTCCTGTACTCTAGATTCAAGAAGGCAAAACCAAAGGCAAAGGCTGCATAAAGACCGCTTATATAGCAACAATTAGCTTCAGAAGGATCAGGATCAGGGGAATGTACTGCTTTCACTGGTAGCATACACTTGGCTTTCCCCCAGTTTGTCTCCACCATGTTCTCTCATCTTCTTATTTGGCTGTTTGTACCATGTATAGAAGATTTTTATGAAGGTTGTGGTGGACCGACAAAGAAATAGCACTGCCAAAACTCTTTTCAAGGGAATAAGAATTTTGGCATGTACTCCTGAAAGTTCTGATACAGAATATTAGCCTTTTTGCAGTGATTCTCTTGACATGTTGATGAAACTTATACCTCTGGTGCACTCTGCATGCAACGTCGCTGTTGTTTTCAAGTCAAGTGCATCCAGATGCATTATTGGTCAGCTTCTAGCACATTTTTTTATTCATTTCATGACTTCTGCTAAATATTGTTTAAGCACCGCAGTGCTATAACGTTCAAGATTCTAACTTCCATAGTGAAAAAATAAATGTTAAATCTCAACAAGGGGTAGTTTTACCATTTGAAAAAAAATATATCTAGTTTCTGAACTTCTGATTTTTCTCTAAAGATCAGTATCAATGGACGATTAATCATGTGCACGTGCATATGTGGTTTCCTTTAGGCAAATATACATTAAAAAACCGTGTGTCTTGTGGAAAACTTCAATTTTGCTCGAGATTTCCTTTTCACTTATGAGGGAATTTTGTTCACAGCAAAAATAATTTGTTCAAGGTGATTTCCTCACCAAATAGAAACAAAAAAAAAAATTATTTCTGCTTGCTTAAAAGAATAGAACATTCTGGATAGACCGGGTGAAAGTGAAACAGATGGTATTGACAGGTGACAACCCATAGCCATACTAACCTGTGGATGAGGAGTTGAGTAAACATTCACCATAAAAAATAAGAGAAATTTTAAAGATCACAGGAAATATATGTGAATTCAGAGTGGATCTGTTCCCACAACTTCATGTTCCAGGTGAGGCGAGAAAGAACTTTCAGTAGATTAGCTCATACTCCAACCATTCAATTAAATTTACCTTACACCACATGTAGCTCTGGAGATAGAAACAGTTAGTGGCAGTGCTAGACATAAAAACCTGCGATACCAATCCACCTAAACTCGTAGTACTTGTGTAATTTTTGTGAGTATTTTCCGAAGTCTGCGATGTCAGTTAACATCACAAACACTGTAGCTTCACCAGTGGAGACAGAATTTTCATATTTTCATAGTTTGTAAAGAAGTGTTGAACTATTGGGGAAAATGTATCTTTCTTCTGATTCGGGAAATTTGGGAGTCCATATGTTTGAAGACATGACAGTAAAATGTACAGTAGCAGAAAACAAAGTAGCTGTAGCAGAGTAGAGTATTGCTAGCCAGTAATTCCCATGATCTCATATAGGCGTGGAAATGGATAGTTATCTGACAAGCTGTGGCACAAACACTGAACAGTGCAAGAAAACAGGGAGACACTAATGCACGAATTAAACCAAGTTAATCTCCTCAATATTTAGCACTAACAAATTAACCTACAATCACGATAAACCCATCACCATGCACCATGCAACTAGTGCGTTTCTTATATTCGCTAAAAAAAAGAGGAAAACCACAATCTTGGGCTGTTCTTATTCTGAGTTTTCAGAAGAAACACCAAATCTTCAGAGGAAAAACTAAACAGAAGAAAGAATTTGATCAGTGCAACGTGGTGCAGATAGAGGTGCTTCTATGTGGTAAGGATGGGCGGGAGGTAGTCGGACTTGGCGCCGAGGATCCGCGCCGAGGTGTCCGGGAAGAACTCCATCCCGGGCAGCTGAGTCACCGCGCCGTCGCCGGTGACGCTGACGGGGTAGGTGAGGAGGTGGCCGGGGAGGTCGCGCTCTGGGCCATCGCCGGCGTAGAGGTCCCAGTACCTTTCGGCCATGGCGTTCACCTTGTGCACGCACTCGAGGCTCTCCGGCCGCTGGAACGCCTCGTCGACCATGCCGAGGTGCTCGTACCAGAGCGCCATCCTGAACCCGTGCACCTGCCCCCTCGCCGGCCGGCTCGTCGCCAGGTGGCCCGGCTGGTACCCGCCCATGGCGATCTCCGAGTCGCGCGCCCCGTCCATGGACCTCTGGTTGATGTTCGCCGACCCCACGATGATGTACTCGTCGTCCACTGACAAGCAAACACACAAACGACCAAGAACAATCAAAATCTACCAACATGCAGAACGAACTGAATGCGCCGTACCGGTACGTACCGATCATCATCTTGGTGTGGACGTAGATCATGAACCGGCGGTTCTGCTGCGCCTTGAGGTAGTCGCTGTCGGGCTCGGCCTGCTCCGGCGGCTGGTACTCACCGGACTTCTTGGCCTCCCGGTTGCCGAGGCAGAAGAAGGTGAGGTAGTCCTTGGGTTTGGCGTCGATCCCCTTGGCCTCGATGGCCTGCGCGATGTCCGTGTACATCATCTCCATGGTCCTCCTCTGCCAGTCCAGGATCGCCTGCACGGACCCGCTCGCCGGGATGCCCTCCGGCCACATGGGCACCACCACGTACACGGTGAACCGCTCCCCGGCCTCGATCTTGCTCACCACCTTCATGGACAGCTCCTTGGGGAGGAGGTGCAGCGCGCCGACGTCGTCGGGGTTGATGCCGTCGGGCTTCCAGCAGTAGGAGCTCCCCAGGAAGTACTGGTTCTCGATGTAGATGAAGCTCTTGGCCCTCCGGATGGCGCAGATGTACGCGTCCTGGATGCTCCGGTCGATGATCTGGTCCTTGCCGCTCACCAGCCCCGCCTTCGCCGCGTCCTCGGGGTTGTCCGGGAACCCGAAGGCGGCGCCGCCATCGATGGACCGGAACAGCTGCACGTTCCACGCCTCCCTGTCCTCGGCGTGCATCACCGGCGACGGCGGGATGATGTCGTCGGCGAGGTCCCTGAGCTGGACGAGCAGGTCCTTGCCGCCCTGCTTGCGCCACCGCTGCTCGAAGTTGTAGAGCACGTCCCAGGCCACGGGGCCCTCGAGGCGGCAGTGGATGTCGTGCCACGGCTCCCTCGGCCCGCCCTTGGCGATCGCCGCCGTCGCGAAGTTGGGCTGGTGGAAGTCGTCGTGGTGGGGGCCGTCCAGCGTCCCGAACAGCGGGTGGAACGGCGTGTCGTAGCGGCCGTCGCAGAGGTCAAGCCCGCCCACGAAGCTGAGGATCCGCCGGCGCCGGCCGCCGCCGCTCTGGGGCATGTCGTGGTCCACGATGACGGTCTTCTGGTGGTGCGTGAACATGGTGGAGATCTGCAGGTCCTGGACGAAGCTGCCGGAGTCGTCGGGGTCCCGGGGGCAGAGCACGCAGTGCACGTCGGTGTCCTGGAAGTAGTTCATCGTCTCCTCGTCGTGCGTCGCCATGAGGCCGTCCTTCTTGAGCACCCCAACCGAGGTCCGGTCGTCCCAGACCAGCATGAGGACCCTGACGCCCTCGCCGGCCTTCTTCTTGAGCAGCTCCCCGAGCGTGACGCCGCCGCCGGCCGGCTTGGGCCGGTTCGCGTCCCTGAGCAGCGCGATCTCCGTGTACACGGACCACCCCGTGATGTAGATGAGGTGCTTGGCATTGCTGATGGCGGCGAAGATGTCCTCCCAGCAGCGGTGCGGTTCGTAGCAGCGGCCGTCGTCGAGCGGGATCCTGGGGATGAAGCCGTCGGGGATGTGGGCGTCCTGGTATAGCGTCACCTTGCACCCCTGCCGCTGGGAGAAGAAGGTGTAGGGCACGCCGGGGTTCTTCCCGGAGCGGATGCCGTGGCCCCAGGCCCGGTCTTTGGAGATGTCGAAGTACTGGAGCTTGACGTGGATCTTGCCGCCGCCTTCGACGGGGTTGCGGCTGTCGTCGCAGAGCGGGAGCCAGCGCTCTACCTCGTCGCCGCCGTAGATGTCGCGGACGGGGAGGTAGCCCGTGCCCACGACGGAGGCGCCGATGGTGCTGCTGCCCTTGATGGTGAAGAGCACGTCGGAGGCGAGGTGCGCGCAGTAGATGTGGAAGGACTCGAACCAGCGCGGGGTCGACGACTCGTCGGTGAGCGTGCGGGTGCGGCCGATGCGGGCCTTGCCAAGGCCGATGGTGGCGTAGAGCTTGCTCGCGCCTTTGCCGACGCCCACCGTGTCCTCGATCCCCTCCACCAGCTGTTGCTCACCATTTTTTAAATCAAAAGAGAGATCTCAGTACGATGTTGCAAAGAACTCGTACGTGAGCACTCGATCAGAGCAGGGTACCAGCATTGAAAAATCATCGAAACATTCGCTGAATGTGCACGACGATCCTACCAGCGCCAAACTCACGAACTGGTCCAAACGTCCATTTTTCCGCAAACCCGGGAGCTTTGCGGGCATCCGGACTGCTGCCACGTACACGTCTACCACCCTGGCCCCATCCAAAAAAACTATCCCGCGATTGCATCCTTTGCCATGTGAACAGTGTCACGCATTCATGCCACTCTAGAGTGCTAACGCTTAATTCATGTCAGTCCAAAGCGGACGCGATCTCCAACTGAGGCACTGAAGCGGCGTGCCGGCCGAGAGCGTCGCCAGCCTCCACGCCTGTTTCAATGTCGGAGGCGCGTGACTAGATGGTTGTGTACCGCATACAAAACGGCTGCCCATCTGTCCGTCTACTGGCATTAAATAGCCGCGGCACCTGCATTGACACAACCCACCGCTTGGCCTGGCTGGAGCTCGACGCGGAGTCGGACGATAAGGAGGCACCGGCGACCGCGAACGTCACTAGCTCCGCATCGTTCGTGCCGCCACCGCACTTTGCGCCCCGCCGCAACGACCACGAGACCGGCTCGTCCACGGTCCACGTCTAGCGTGGTCGACACGACAGACTGCGGTAAGGAATGGTACCTCCATGGCTTGGGTCCTAGGAGGGCCACACCCCATGTCTTATTATTCCCCTTCCGCAACTTCACTTCCTTGGTCTCATAACAGGTGAGCATGTTGGACATAGGGAAGGCGGGACGCAGGACACGGACGCCACCATGACGGGCGATCCTTTAGACTAGGTTAAA